GAGGACGTCGGGCCCTCACGCCACCCTCATGAAGTCTGTTTCTGATTGTTTCTGATTGTTTGGTCAGAGACATTCACACCAGTGGCCTGCTGGAGGTCATTTTGTAGGGCTCTGGCAGGGCTCATCCTGTTCCTCCTTGCACAAAGGAGCAGATACCGGTCCTGCTGATGGGTTAAGGACCTTCTACGGCCCTGTCCAGCTCTCCTAGAGGAACTGCCTGTCTCCTGGAATCTTCTCCATGCTCTTGAGACTGTGCTGGGAGACACAGCAAACCTTCTGGCAATGGCATGTTTTGATGTGCCATCCTGGAGGAGTTGGACTGCCTGTGCAACCTCTGTAGGGTAACCGCATGCTACCAGTAGTGACACTGACCCTAGCCAAATGCAAAACTAGTAAAAAAGATGAGTAGGGAAAAAATTGTCAGTGGCCTCCACCTGTAAAACCATTCCTGTTTTGGGGGTTGTCTCATTATTACCCATCTAATGCACATCAAAGCAGCTGCAACTGATTAACAACCTCCTCTGCTACTTAACTAACCGGATCAATATCCCAGGAGTTTCAATGACATGATGCTATACTCTGATTAAAAAGTGTTCCTTGAATTTTTTTGAGCAGTATATATATATATATATATATATATATATATACACACATATATATGTACTAATAAATAAAATAACTTTTTTTTTTTTTTTCAATTAAAAACGTTTTTTTTTACCAATAATGTTTCCACCACTTCCTGTCCCATTGACCACACAGTCAGTTAGGAGGAATTTCCCCAATGGGGACACAGGGAGCAGAAAATTCGGATGGAGTGTCTCACCTGTCCATACTACATCCATAGAATAAAAGTGATGGCTTGCAGTTTTACTTTAACTTCCTGTAACTGTGTAACTTCTGTAAATTTTGCACAACATTAACAAAACTGAGTACATTTTGCCCTGCGACGATACACTTTGATTTGCACTTATTATTGATATAACAGTGTAGACAAAGCCGGCAAACGGTCCTTGTTAGCAGCCTAGAGGGCAGCGCCGAAACAAGAACAATCCATTTCCCTAATTTCCTAGTCCCAGCATTCTTCTCTCCTAATTAGAGAAAGCGCCTTAAAAAATAGCGCTGAGATTTTGTTTTTAGAAGGGCAGCTTTTAATTAAAACTCATCTCTTTTCTGGAAAATCCTGCATTCCATATTCAGGGTTACTGTTGGAGTGAAACACCTTGACCCTCTGCTCTCAGAAAGGGACCCATTGTGCACATGCACAGTAAATAAAAAATGTAATGTTTTGTGAGTATTTAAATCAGTGCCAAATAATCTGAACCTTGAAAAGACGCCCTTGAAATGGCAAACAAGAGCCACCACCTCGGGGAGCTACAGTGGCCATTACACAGCAGCACAAAGCATTCTGAAAATGTTAACTTTTCCCTATTGAAATATTTTCTTTCAATTAAAAATGTTTTATATATATATATATATATATATATATATATATATATACACACTATGTTGCCAAAAGTATTGGAACACCCCTCCAAGTCATTAGATTCCGGTGTTGCATTCACCTCCATGGCCACAGGTGTATACAATCAAGCCCCTAGGCATGCAGACGGCTTCTACAAACATTGGTGAAAGAATGGGTCGCTCTCAGGAGCTCAGTGACTCCAAGCGTGGTCCCGTGATAGGTGGCCACCTGTGCAATAAGTCCATCCGTGACATTTTCTGGCTACTAAATATTCCACGCTCAACTGTTAGTGGGATTATAACAAAATGGAAGAAACTGAGAACAACAGCAACTCAGCCACCAAGTGGCAGGCCACGTCACATGACAGAGCGGGGTCAGTGCATGCTGAAGCGCACAGCGCGCAGAAGTCACCAACTGTCTGCAGAGTCAATAGCTAAAGACCTCCAAACTTGGTGTGGCCTTCAGATGAGCCCAACAACAGTGCGTAGAGAGCTTCATGGAATGGGTTTCCATGGCCGAGCAGCTGCATCCAAGCCGTACATCACCAAGTGCAATGCAAAGTGTCGGATGCCGTGGTGTAAAGCACGCCGCCACTGGACTCTAGATCAGTGGAGATGTGTTCTCTGGTGTGACCAATCACCTTCCCTGTCTGGCAATCCGATGGACATGTCTGGGTTTGGTGGTTGCCAGGAGAACGGTACTTGCCTGACTGCATTGTGCCAAGTGTAAAGTTTGGTGGAGGAAGGGTTATTTTTCAGGGGTTGGGCTTGGCCCCTTTAGTTCTATGTTCCCAACTTTGAGATATATACAGTATATAAACACACACACACTGTTCAAAGTATATAGCATCAAGTCAATGAAATTCCTGGAATATTGATCTGGACCCTACAGAGGTTACAAAGGCAGTAAAACTCCTCCAGGATGGCACGTATTCGTGCCATTGCCAGAAGGTTTGCCAGAGAACATTATGCTGCCTGTAACATGGTTCAGCATGACCGTTTTGGTGGTGGGTCAGTGATGGTCTGGGGAGGCATATCCATGGAGGGACACACAGACCTCTACAGGCTAGACAATGGCACCCTGACTGCCATTAGGTATTGGGATGAAATCCTTGGACCCATTGTCAGACCCTAAGCTGGTGCAGTGGGTGCTGGGTTCCTCCTGGTGTAGTGGGTCCTGGGTTCCTCCTGGTGCAGTGGGTCCTGGGTTTCTCCTGGTGCAGTGGGTCCTGGGTTCCTCCTGGTGCAGTGAGTCCTGGGTTCATCCTGGTGCACGACAATGCCCGGTCTCATGTGGGGAGAGTATGCAGGCAGTTCCTGGAGGATGAAGGAATTGATACCATTGAATGGCCCCCACGCTCTCCTGACCTAAATCCAATAGAACACCTCTGGGATGTCATGTTTCGGTCTATCCGATGCCACCAGGTTGCACCTCAGACTGTCCAGGAGCTCAGTGATGCCCTGGTCCAGATCTGGGAGGAAATCCCCCAGGACACCATCCGTCATCTCATTAGGAGCCTCCCCCGACGTTGTTAGGCATGCATACAAGCACGTGGGGGCCATACAAACTACTGAGGACCATTCTGAGTTTCTGCAATGACATTTCAGCAAAGTGGACTCGCCTGCTGCATCATTTTTCACTTTGATTTTCGGTGTCTTTGAATTCAGTCCTCTGTAGGTCGATCATTTTTATTTCCATCAAACGATGGGGCGTCCTTATGTTCCCAACACATCACCCCGTCCATGTCAGTATAGAGATCCAGCAGGAGATTTATCCCCATTGAGATCTGATGTGTTTTCAAAGTCTTCCTTTCATTTTTTTGAGCAGTATATATATATATATATATGTGTGTGTGTGTGTATGTATATATTATATTACTGTTACATTATTTTTATCTCTCTCGCTCTCTCTATATATACTTTTTTTCTTTAACATTTCTAGTCTTGTGGAGGTCCACAATTTTGTCTCTGGTGTCTTTTGACAGCTCTTTGGTCTTGCCCATGGTAGTAGTTGGCGTCTGACTGTGGGGTGGACAGGTGTCTTTAAAGAGCTCAGACAGGTGCTACTAAGTTAGATGAATGAGTGGAGTAGAGGTGGACTTTTTAAAGGCGCAGTAACAGGTCTTTGAGAGCCAGAATTCTTGCTGTTTCTTAGGTGTTCAAATACTTCTGTTCAGCAGTGCAAGACAAATACATTCTTTACAAATCATACAATGTGATCTCCTGAATTTTTTTTTTAAATTCCGTCTCTCAGAGTGGGGATGCACCTACAATGTGAATTTCAGACCCCTCCATGATTTCTAAGTGGGAGAACGTACAAAATCGCAGGGGGTTCAAATACTTTTGTTCTTCACTGTATATGCAGAATCCTTTTCCCAGTGTTCTCCGGTCAGGGCGGTCCTTACTCATGTAGAGTTTGCATTCTCTGCACCAGTAAATTGTGCATGAAAGTTGCTTTTGGGAGGAAGGGGAGGAGGAATGACACCCTTCATTTAACAGTATGTCCTCAGTCTTGAGTGGCTTTGGGTGTCATTCATCCTGGAAGACTGAGGCCATCTTGTGGTGAAGAATGTGTACTGAGGGCACAGCTCCCAAATGAAGGTGCAGATTGCAGCCCGAGCAGCTTTCTTTCAATAGCCTCAATTCTGGGTTCTGAACTGCCAAGTCTGCATAGAGCACCCAACAGCATTCTCATAATGTCACCCACACAATGCAGGTTCTGAATGTGTTTGCATTACTATAATAATGTAATTTCTTTTCTGATGTCTTGATGTATGAAGACGCATTAACCTCTTTTCCATCATTTATGTTTATCGCCCCCGGTCTGACAGCTCACACGCTGGAAGTAAATATGCTTTTATTTCAAAGTGTCGCTGAAAATGGGGAGTCGGAGACCCTGACACCACTGAGATCATCTCGCTGTGTTTGAAGGCTGCTTTTACTAATAGGCGGCATAGCATCCTTCATTCATGTGATATTATTATTACATTGTATATCATACAGATACAAATGTATTCCATTGAATTCCCGGAATCTATCTTCACCCCGAGACATAACACCGCATCTAGATTCAGTTTACATACAATGATAACTGCTTCAGCCTTGAGCTCCACGGCAGCAGCTCTTCACAGCTTCAGATCAGCATTTTGAGTGGTGAACGCAATCACCCACAAAGTTTGTTTTTATTTCAGCAGCACACACAATGGTTCCCATATGCATTGTCCTGTATACTGTAAATAACCTTCATGGGCATTAACAATGGAAAAGACATTTTTAGTTCTAGGTGTAGGTCATGGTGCGAATGGTGGCTGCCATAACTGCTCATGTGGATTTTGTTTTGTTCTTAGATGTGTCGCACAATGAATGCTCATCATTGATCACTTCTGTCAGTGCAACTCTATGGGTCAGGTTTGACTGCTCTAAAAACAACAGGCTCTCAGCAAGAGCCGTGGCACACCTGCAGTTTTATCGCCTGGGACTGGATTATAAAAATGTGCAGCTTATATACTTACCTGATCTATGTGGCAAGGCGTCATGTACAGGGGCGGACTGACCATTTGGAAACTCGGGCACTGCCCGAGAGCCCGGGGTCAGTAGGGGGCCCCATGAGATGCCCCTGGTACCTTTTTCATAGGCTTTTTTGAGTTTGGGCAAGGACACAGGGGGCCCCTTGATCCCCTATTGCCCAAGGGCCCTATGAGTTGTCAGTCCGCCCCTGGTCATGTAAATGCAATAGAATCTCCCTCTCAAAAGCTAGCGCTCTTTGCTAATCAGAGAACTTTAGCTTTGACTCTGGAGGTGTGATGGACCACTGCAGAGAGGCCACTGCTTTCCCACAGAGATCTGGGGTCCTTCTGTACAGCATGCTGACAAGTGAAAAACAGCTGCAAGACACTGAATACCAAGTTCTGTCGGCCATTACATCGCTCACAACCTCAGTAGAATAGCCTCTCCTGCCAACAAGCTGCAGAGAAGGACACTTGCTCTGTGGGCAGAAGCAGTGGTCTCTCTGCAGAGTGCTGACACACTTCCTGTTGAGTTAAAAATAAAGAGGTCCATTCAGTGAGGAGCATGAACTTTACTAGTTGCAGAGTTATAGCTCTGACTCAGTAGGGTGTATGTTGGACCTCAGCACAGAGACCACTGCTTTCCCACAGAAGGCTTGGTCCTTCTCTGCACCCTGCTGGCTAACCTTAAGGTCTCCATTCAGTGAGGAGCATGAACTTTATGGGTTGCAGAGCTATAGCTCTGACTCAGTAGGGTGTATGTTGGACCTCAGCGCAGAGACCACTGCTTTCCCACAGAGGGTTTGGTCCTTCTCTGCACCCTGCTGGCTAACCTTAAGGTCTCCATTCAGTGAGAAGCATGAACTTTACGGTTTGCAGAGCTTTAGCTCTGACTCAGTACGGTGTATGTTGAACCTCAGCACAGAGACCACTGCTTCCTCACAAAGGGCTTGGAACTTCTCTGCACCCTGTTGGCTAACCTTAAGGTGTCCATTCAGTGAGGAGCATGAACTTTACGGGTTGCAGAGCTATGGGTCTGACTCCGTAGGGTGTATGTTGAACCTCAGCACAGAGACCACTGCTTCCTCACAGAGGGCTTGGTGCTTCTCTGCACCCTGTTGGCTAACCTTAAGGTGTCCATTCAGTGAGGAGCATGAACTTTACGGGTTGCAGAGCTATGGGTCTGACTCCGTAGGGTGTATGTTGAACCTCAGCACAGAGACCACTGCTTCCTCACAGAGGGCTTGGTGCTTCTCTGCACCCTGTTGGCTAACCTTAAGGTGTCCATTCAGTGAGGAGCATGAACTTTACGGGTTGCAGAGCTATGGGTCTGACTCCGTAGGGTGTATGTTGAACCTCAGCACAGAGACCACTGCTTCCTCACAGAGGGCTTGGTGCTTCTCTGCACCCTGTTGGCTAACCTTAAGGTGTCCATTCAGTGAGGAGCATGAACTTTATGGTTGCAGAGCTACAGTATAGCTCTGACTCAGTAGGGCTTATGTTGGACCCCAGCACAGAGACCACTGCTTTCTCACAGAGGGCTTGGTCCTTCTCTGCACCCTAGTGGCTAACCTTAAAGCAGAGCTCCACCGAAAAGGGGAAGTTCCGCATTAAGGACTTCTCCCCCACTCCACATTAAGCATTGGCACCTTTTGGGGGTGGGGGGAGTGGGTACCCGAATTTGACCAGTACCCGCTCCCACTTCCCTTTGGATCACCTAGGCAATCGTAAACAGAAGGTGTCCTCCCTCCCTGTAGTCTTTTGGGACACGTGACAGGTCCCAGAAGACTACTGGACCATTCATGAAGCGCAGCACTACTCGCGCATGCGCAGTGGGCACCCGGCTGTGAAGCCGCAAGCTGTCACAGCTGGGTGCCCACACTGAAGATGCCGGCCTCGAGGAATCCAGGACAGCAGGTGAAACGGATTGCAGGGAACACACCACGGGACCGAGGGACAGGTAAGTGGCTGTTTTTTAAAAGTCAGCAGCTACAGTTTTTGTAGCTTCTGACTTTTATTTTTTGACAGGGTAAGTGGAACTCTGCTTTAAGGTGTCCATTCAGTGAGGAGCATAAGCTTTACTGGTTTCAGAGCTACAGTATAGCTCTGACTCAGTAGGGTTTATGTTGGACCCCAGCACAGAGACCTCTGCTTCCTCACAGAGGGCAAAGGTCCTTCTCAGCACCATGTTGGCTAACCCTAAGGTCTCCATTCAGTGAGGAGCATGAACATGTGATTGCAGAGCTTTAGCTCTGGCTTAGTAAAGTGTATGTTGGACCTCAGCACAGAGACCACTGCTTTCTTTCACACAGGGAACAAGTATCCTACTGTGCAGCATGCTGACAAGGGACAAACTATTCTATTCAGGCCGTGTCTGAATTCTAAAGAAAACCAACTGTAGGACACTGAACACCCATTTCACTTGTCCTTTATAGCAGTCACAGCATAAGTAGAAAAGCTTGTCTCCTGCCAACATGCTACAGAGAAGGACACTTGCTCACTGTGCAGAAGCAGTGGTCTCTCTGCAGAGGTCTGACAACTCCTGCTGATTTAAAACTAAAGGACTCCATTCAGTGAGGAGCAGGAACTTTACTTGTTGCAAAGCTAAAGCTCTGACTTAGCAGGGCATTATGTTGGACCTCAGCATAGAGACCCCTGCTTCCCCACAAAAGCAAAAGTCCTTATCTGCAGCATGCTGGCTGACCCAAACCCTAAGGACTCCATTCAGTGAGGAGCAAGAACTTTACTGGTTGCAGAGCTATGGCTCAGACTTAGCAGGGCATTATGTTGGACCTCAGCATGGAGACCACTGCTTCCCCACAGAAGGCAAATGTCATTATCTGCAGCATACTGGCTAACCCAAATCCTAAGGACTCCATTCAGTGAGGAGAAGGAATTTTACTGGTCTCATAGCTATAGTCCAGACTCAGTAGGAAGTATGTTGGACCTCAGCACAGAGACCACTGCTTTCACACAGTGAGCAAAGGTCCTTCTCTGCAGCATTGTGGCTAACTTGAACCCTAAGGACCTCAGCACAGAGACCACTGCTTCCTCACAGAGGGCTTGGTGCTTCTCTGCACCCTGATAGCTAACCTTAAGGTCGCCCATCAATTTCACTCATCAATGCCCATCAGTGCCTCCTCATCAATTCCCACCAGTGCCACCCATCAGTACCCAGCAGTGCCCCCTATCAGTGCCGCCAGTCAGTGCCACCAGCCAGCGCCGCCCATCAATGTCACTCATCAATGCCCATCAGTACCACCCATCAGTGCCTCCTCATCAATGCCCACCAGTGCCACCCATCAGTGCCCAGCAGTGCCACCCATCAGTGCCCAGCAGTGCTGCCTATCAGTGCCGCCAGTCAGTGCCACAGCCAGCGCAGCCCATCAATGTCACTCATCAATGCCCATCAGTGCCCCCCATCAGTGCCTCCTCATCAGTGCCCACCAGTGCCACCTCATCAGTGCCCATCAGTGCTGCCTATCAGTGCAGCCTCATCAACGCACATCAGTGAAGGAGAAAAATTAGCTGTTTGCAAAATTTTGCAAAATAATCTTTTTTTAATCATTTTTTTTGCTTTTTTTGTTTATAGTGCAAAAAAAAACCACCCAGCGGCAATTAAATACCACCAAAAGAAAGATCTATTTGTGTGAAAAAAAATTTCATATGGGTACAGTGTTGCATGACCGCTCAATTGTCATTCAAAGTGCGACAGCGCTGAAAGCTGAAAATTGGCCTGGACTGGAAGGGGGTATAAGTGCCTGGTAGCCAAGGGGTTAAGCAAATCCTCCTACACATGTTGTACCTGCTTATACATAGTCTTTCTCTCCTCTACATCTCTTCAAAGTACACATTTCTGAGCCCCAGAAGGCAGGGGGTGAAGACCTGATGTCACACAATGCACAACACAGAGCAGGGAGCTGAGTGTAATTTGAGATCTAAGTGGAGGGAATGGCCACACCTCCTAAAATGGTCTCAGATGGAAACATGCACAGTCGAGGCTCTCATCCAGTTTCTGTGTGCTATGGGGAGGGGGCCTCACTTGGGATAGCTTGGTGTTGCCATAACCTGTCAGAAGTGACAGTTAGAAGCAGGGGAGGACTGACAACTTATGGGGCCCCCGGGCAATAGGGGATCATGGGGCCCCTGTGTCCTTGCCCAAACTCAAAAAAGCCTATGAAAAAGGTACCAGGGGCATCTCATGGGGCCCCCTACTGACCCTGGACCCTCAGGCAGTGCCCGAGTTTCCAACTGGTCAGTCCGCCCTGGTTAGCAGAGGGAGCAGATATCAGACAGAAGTCGCACTAGGTGCTTTGAATTGAGGCAAGTAAACAGTAGAAGGATATGCTTTGTTTATTTTTTATTTCTGAGGTTTCCAACCACTTTGAAAGACCAAAATGGAGAGAATTAAAAAAAAAATGAATTGTTAGGTTTTACTTGCCCTTTAATGAATTGTTCATTTAAATACCCTTTAATCTCGATACTTTGTATCCCACAATGGTTACTTTCTGGGACAGAGCCACACGTGTTAATGAGGTGAGTGAAGCGGGTCACAACCCCACGCTGACTCCTTTCACATCCACTAATAGGTGTCAGCAGGTACCAGCGCAGCGCCTATCACCGTACTGTACACGAGGCCTCAGACGCCGGTCATTAGCAGGATATCGGTTAATGCGCCGCGTCCCCGGTGTAATGACAGGTACAAAGGAAATATCCACATTGTAACCTACTGAAGAAAACACCAGCAGACTAATTACCATTGTTGATGGCGTATGATGAGACGGTGTAATCAGGCCGTGGAGAGTCAGCGACTTTCATCGGATTTCTATCTTCGCCTTCATTTGGGTTGAACTTCCTAATGGAAATTACATTTAAATGTTAACAAATGCAAAGATCCCCGGGGTGAGAAATAATGAAAACAGGTTGAAAATGAACATGAAGCTTCTAAAGCAACTGGACTGGATCTCCCCGCTGGAGGAACTTTTCGGATTTCAACTGTTAAAGCTGAACTCCGGCCTTACCTCCAATCTTGTACAGTTGTAGCGGCTCCTCTTCAGGACTGAAATGGCTTTCTCTGATTTCAACGCACACTGTGAGCTTCTCACAATGTGCATTAGAAGCTGCAGCAAGTCAACTAAGAGCTCCGCCTCATTTCCTAGATGTCCCCGGTCCACCCATTTCATTCATTGGATTTCAGTTCTTTCAGTCATAGAGGCACAGTGTCAGGGTTGTCCTCATGAATGGGCACTACCCAGAGGCTCCAGGTGCACTGGGGGCCCCATGATAATTTTGCATTATATCATACTTGCCAACTGTCCCGGATTTGCTGGGACAGTCATGCTTGTAACCACTTCCCGTCCGGCCACTGTATATAAATGGCCGAACGGTGGCAGTGCAGGGGCAGGTTGCCATTTATAAATGGCTCCTGCCATTTTGGATTGTGCGCGCTCCCTGGGAGAGCGCAGCACCGTGATCCGGTGCCCTCTGTGTCCGGAGGACACAGCGGAACACCGATCGCTGTACGGGACCTCTGTGTGAGGTCCCGATCATGTGATCACTGATTGGCAAATCAGTGATCACATGAATAGGTGTAAGCAAGATGTTACATCTAACATCATTGCTTACTACGTGGGAAATCTGTGAATGATCACAGAAATCACATGGTACAGGGCTATTCACAACAGCCTTGTACCATGTGACAAGCTGTGACCAATCACAGCTCTCACAGTATTTCTCAATGGCTGCAGGAATGCAGCCAGAGAGAAGGAGAAATGATTGCTTTTGCAGCGTTTATGGGTGTAAAAGCAATCAGTGTACAAAAAAAATCTTCATCACCCCCCACAAGTAGTACCGTGTCACTATGGTGACACTGTACTTCTAGAGTGGTAGTATGTTAAAAAAAACCCATAAATAATAATATTTAAAAAAAAACTAAAAATGTAAAAACATTTTTGAAAAATTATAATTTTTGGTTATAAACTAATTTGGGTTATTATTTTTTTTTTTACTAAAAAGATAGCTGAATACATTTTGGCCAAGATTTATGAAGAAAGATTATTTATTTGCAAAATAAACACTTTTTTAAAAAAATGTTTGGACTTTCTCATTTATATAGCAAAAAATTAAAAATCCCAGCGGTGAATAAATACTACCAAAATAAAGTTTTATCTGTCTCAAAAAATGCTAACAAACCCATATGGGTACAGTGTTGCATGATAGCGCAATTGTCATTCAAAGTGTGATATCGCTGAAAGTTGAAAATTGGAAGGGGGTGAAAGTGTCCGTATTGGAAGGGGGTGAAAGTGTCCGGACTGGAAGGGGGGAAAAGTGTCCGGACTGGAAGGGGGGGGGAAAAGTGTCCGGACTGGAAGGGGGGGGGAAGTGTCCAGACTGGAAGGGGGGGAAAGTGTCCAGACTGGAAGGGGGGGAAGTGTCCGGACTGGAAGGGGGGGAAAGTGTCCGGACTGGAAGGGGGGAAAGTGTCCGGACTGGAAGGGGGGGAAAGTGTTCGGACTGGAAGGGGGGTGAAAGTGAAAAGTGTCCGTATTGGAAGGGGGGTGAAAGTGTCCGGACAGGAAGGGGGGAAAGTGTCCGGACTGGAAGGGGGGGAAGTGTCCGGACTGGAAGGGGGGGAAAGTGTCCGTATTGGAAGGGGGTGAGTGAAAGTGTCTGGACTGGAAGGGGGGGGAAAGTGTCCGGACTGGAAGGGGGGGAAGTGTCCAAACTGGAAGGGGGGGAAGTGTCCAAACTGGAAGGGGGAAGGGGGGGAAAGTGTTCAGACTGGAAGTGGAAGGGGGGGGAAAGTGTCCGGACTGGAAGGGGGGGAAAGTGTCTGGACTGGAAGGGGGGGAAAGTGTCTGGACTGGAAGGGGGGGGGAAGTGTCCGGACTGGAAGGGGGGGGAAGTGTCCAGACTGGAAGGGGTGAAAGTGTCCAGACTGGAAGGGGGGGGGGAAAGTGTCCGGGACTGGAAGGGGGGGGGGGAAGTGTCCGGACTGGAAGGGGGGGGAAGTGTCCGGACTGGAAGGGGGGGGGGGGGGGGGTGTCCGGACTGGAAGGGGGGGGAAGTGTCCGGACTGGAAGGGGGGGAAAGTGTCTGGACTGGAAGGGGGGGGGAAAGTGTCCAGACTGGAAGTGGTTAACTAAACTGTTCTGTGATGGCCATATACCGGGCAGCATCCCAAAATCTGTACCGTGTGCTCCTGATTCCCAGCCCCCCCCCCGTCCCCCTTGCACTGTGCCCTTCTACCTCCCCCCCGGGTTACTGTGCCTTTCTACCTCCCCCCCTGTACTGTGCCCTTCAACCTCCCCCCCTGTACTGTGCCCTTCTACCTCCCCCCCCCCTGTACTGTGCCCTTCTACCTCCCCCCTGTACTGTGCACTTCAGCCTCCCCCCCTGTACTGTGCCCTTCTACCTCCCCCCTGTGTACTGTGCCCTTCTACCTCCCCCCTGTACTGTGCCCTTCTACCTCCTCCCTGTACTGTGCCCTTCAGCCTCCCCCCTGTACTGTGCCCTTCTACCTCCCCCCTGTACTGTGCCCTTCTACCTCCCCCCTGTACTGTGCCCTTCTACCTCCCCCCTGTACTGTGCCCTTCAGCCTCCCCCCTGTACTGTGCCCTTCTACCTCCCCCTGTACTGTGCCCTTCAGCCTCCCCCCCTGTACTGTGCCCTTCTACCTCCCCACCTGTACTGTGCCCTTATGCCCCCCTGTACTGCTTCTTTTTCTGTTGATTAGTCTCTGATTTATGGCATGTTTTCTCCACTTACCCTCCAGAGGATATACCCCCCCCCTCTCCCTCCCTCCCTGACAGGGCCATTTTTTGCATTATGGCGCTGCGTTACTTTAACTGACAATTGCGGCGGTCATGCAATGCTGCACCCAAATAAAGTTTGTGTCCTTTTTTTCCCCACAAATTGAGCTTTCTTTCGGTGGTATTTTATCACCTCTGCAGTTTTTATTTTTTGCACTGTAAAAAAAAGACCGACAATTTTGAGGAGAAAAAAACCTATATTTTTTACTTTTCTATATAAAACGTCCAGTAAAAAATGTAAAAAATAAAATTTCGTCATAAATTTAGGCAAAAAATGTATTCTGCGACATGTCTTTCCTAAACAAATAGTACAGGAGGCAGAGACAAGTAATACTATGTATAAACATTGTTCAGACAGGAGATAGAGAGCTACAAAGTAACATTGTTTATAAACGTTGTTCAGACAGGAGATAGAGAGCTACAAAGTAACATTGTTTATAAACGTCGTTCAGACAGGAGATAGAGAAGTACAAAGTAACATTGTTTATAAACATTGTTCAGACAGGAGATGGAGGGATACAAAGAAACAGTGTTTATAAATGCTGTTCAGACAGGAGATAGAGAAGTAAAAAATAACATTGTTTATAGATATTGGTTAGACAGGAGACAGAGTTACAAAGTAACGTTTTTATAAAACCTTTATCAGTCAGGAGATAGAGAGTAACAAAGCAACATTG